TATGGGGGGGGGGGGGGGAAGCTGTTTGACCATCCAAATGGAAAATAAGAAATAACACCCAGGACACTCGAGTGATTATCCGAACAGCCACTTAGTTGCACCTCAGCCTGTTTGCATGTGAAGTTATTTTAAAAACAGCTATTACTTTTTCAGGCCTCCCATTCCATTTTCCTCCCTGAGTTTCCTCAAAGGATCCTAGACATGTGGAAAACTGACCATAGTTTTGCACCAAGAAGTACCAAATTGTCTTTGACAGTCATGCAATTATATTCTTTTCAAATCAAACAGGGTATATGTTCATATCTTTCATCAAAGTGCAGTTTGAAAAGCAGCTACACTTAAATATTTTATGTATCATTAACATAGCGTAAAATTTAACTTGCATTTAGGAAATAATCAAGCTATCCAACTTTTGTTCTGGAGACAGAGAGGAACATGACTAGCTCAACCAATTCATCTCAATTGAGATGTTTTTACTTTCACATGTTTGTGTACAAAATTTGGCGTCTCCCATTCAAAAAAAAATCTTCTAGTGTAAAATTATACATCAGTGCTCAGTATAAAAGAATCTGGTTTAAATTTCAAATTGCATTTGATCAGAAATATGGTTATATATGAAAAGCAATTATAATGCTTTAGCTGCTGTATGTTGAAGTAAGAGAAAAGAATAAAGTTAAGACTTTTTCCATTTCCATATACAAATTTTATTGCAATACCTGTATTCTAAGTGTACAGACACAAATACACAATGACTCATGACAGATTTCAAACCCTGCCCAGAGAACTGAGTTGATAGGACTTCAGTAGCTGATTGGAAGCTCCCCCACTCTCCAAGAACAACCAGGATCCACAATATTTTTGGTCCAAGATGCATGCTTTAAGTTCGCAGCTGAGTCTATGAACGAGTATATTTACCCCAGATGTGCAGCATAAACACAGAAGCAATAAAAAGAAGACTCATGACCAAAACTGGAACAGGACCACTAAAAATAAAAAAGAGAATGCATTAACATAAAAAAAGCAACAAAAAAAAAATCTGCTTTGTCCAAAGGCCAGTATCAGTCAAACACACTCATCAGTTCATATGCAATTGTATGAGACAGCTCTTACACTGTTCCCATAGGAACACCTTAACACACACAGAAATGAGACAGCCATGTTTATCAAAAACTGCTGCTGCCGCTGTGTTTTTAAAAATAATTTTAAATATCCTAAACGTTACACGACTATAAAGCACAATATAATTACTTTTAAATACAGGTGGTTTTTGTTAACAGCTCACTATTGCTTGTTATCATGAAATGAATCTCCAGACTTGTAGAAGGTTATAATCTCTTTTTACTAATCAGATAGCCACCTGAACAGGCAGAGTCAGATATAAGAGACAACAGAGTCCTCTAGCGGCTAGTCAAATTTTGGCATAAAGTTCACATAATCTAGTAGCTGCCTTCTCAGAGTTTTTAATTCCATTGAAGACCATGGCAACAGAGAAGAGGTAGGTGGGGAGCTGTTGGGGGTTTTTTTGTTTGTTTTTAAAGAAAAGATGCACAGAAAGTCAAAGTCAAGCCCATTATAAAATCATTACCCGAAATGTACAATTCCAACAGATTTATTAGTTTTGGTCCAACAACTTTTACAGATTACGCTTTCACTTGACAAGCAGGGAGATGTTACTTGAATATAAAGTAAAAACAAAACGGAAACACGACCGAAATAATTTACTAATATTCCTATAAGATCTTGATCTACCTGTTTCAAATGTTTATAATTATTTTTCACAAGCACTTCTAAAACGCAATGATTATCTATCATGCTTAGGCTTAGCTGGGTATGGAGAACCCTAAAGAGACAAAAAGCATTTAACAAACACATTAATGACACAAACTAGAAACACACAGTGACTGCACAAGTAATCCCTATTGAGAGAAATACTTCATTAAGCAACAGAATCTGCTTCTCAATCCCTGGTGTTTCATTTGTTGAAGATTATGTCCTACAAGAACTCCTACAACAAGACTTCTACATGCAGATTACGTTGGTCCCACTACAGAAGCGACGTGCAGAAGTTTTCAGTACTGATGTCATGGCTATTTCAGTTCCTCCAGTACCACAGACAACCAGCTAAAACCCTGGAATTCTCCTCCATACACCTAAGTCTTCTCAACCTCATATGCTCAGTTAAAAAATATATACAAATAAAACAAAACCGACTCAGGCACCCCTAAAGACTTCGTGTTGTGCATCCTCAGAAGCGCCTTGGATAAGACTGCATACCAGTACTGTTAGTCCAATTTGATTCTCTATCATAGTTCCACAGGAAACCCCAGCTACTGTTCTTAAAAGCAGGAAAGCTCAAGACAACACACAGAAAACCACAAGTTCCAAGCAACACAGAAACAGCAACAAGCTTAAGGAGATTATTTTGCTTTAGTCCCGTTAAAGCACAAATTACTGAGTTTTAAAGAGAAAAATATCATATCCCACTCTCAGCCACATCCCACACAGTTCCCTTTTCGCTGGTATTGCTTTCAGAGACCATGCATTTTGTGGCATCCCCTATTAAAAAGGAACCTTCTTTCCTGAGGCAAAACAAACTTGCTTATTCAATGTATTTATTATTTCTGATGTTAAGTATAGACAGTAAAAGCCTGAAGCATCAGAAATACAATTATGCACAACATAAAATACACACTTTTTGATCTATAGCAGAATTGCCCCAATCACAGCTAGTACAAGATAATCTGTTCTCAGGTGGTTTTTATGAACTTTTCAAATTCCTAATAATTCTAAGAGCATGTATTTTAAATGGCACAAGAAAACAAAACAACAGAAAAAAAAAATCACACTAAGCTTTCGCACCGCTCTATGTAGTGGTGGTCACAACTATTTTTAAAAGCAGCTTCTGCTGAAGCACTTAACTGAGGCAACCACAATTCATCTATAACCCATTTTTATTTTACAGCTTACTGAGAAGAACAGAGACCCTAGCAATCGGGTGATACAGACAGCACAGATCTGTAAGAAAGGAAGGAAGCTGCTTCCAAGCCGTGATTCACATAATGTTGTAATTTGTCTGCAGCTGGGCTGTAAAACCAACTCACTTTTACAAATTTTTGTTTCTTCCATTAACAGCCTGACCATAAAGTATCCATGGTGGCTTGCAGAAGCATTCTCAGGGCTCACTGTTCCACAACCTTTAACTTCATGTTGCAGCACAAACAGGAAGGGAAAAATCTACTGACCTGCTTGTATTGAAGACTAGAACAAAGCATTACATATGAATAGACGCTCAATGGCATAAGGGAGATGAAAAGATTCCACAAGGAAACTTACTGGAGAAGTTGGTGAAGCTGTTTTGACTGCTTTTATCACAGCTCCATTGAGGGGAAAAAAAAAATCCAACTACCTAAGGGTAGCATCCATCTGTTCTTTCAGTTTGTTTTTTTCTTTTTTTTAAACCTGGGGTTTAGTAGACTACACGATACACAAACCACTTTCCTATCTGCACAGACATACTCTAAAACATCACTGATGCTCATTTTCTCTTTATTGTCTTTGCCTTGCATGGTCCTTGAGTTCAGAAGGGAGAAAGTAAGATCTGCAATAACAAAATGCCACTGTTTTGATGATTTGCAGTAAAATTTGTTTTGTGTTTTTTTTTTTTTTTAAATAGAGCCAAGCACATATGAAAATGAAAATACTTAAGATGTCAGAGAAGATACAGGTTGTGAAAGTCACTACCTAGACTATCCTAAGCTCTCTCTCAAACATTTTCCTTGTGCAGCCAGCTGCAATGTATTTTCTTTTAAAAAGCCCCAGAATAAAATAATAATAGATTCCAGAAAAAAAGAAGCAATAGGGGCACCTCTGGATCTCTGGAGCCTCTTCAACCCAGTAACAAAAAATAAGAAGCTGTGAAGTACAACTTTACTAAAAACACAAGTCAACACAGTGATTTAGCACGTAGCTCTATCAGCTGAAATGGTCCCTCTACCTCCATTACCCAAGTGTTAGGCTGATGTGGGCAACTAGTCTGAATGACTGAATCTGGTTAAAAAGTAGACGTGTACGCTCTCTTTACAGACTGAGGAACACTATCCACGAGTTATCCGATCACAAACCTGGAAAGTTGATCTTGTAATAAGAGAGATAAACAGGATAAAACAGGATATTGGAATGTTATTCACTTCCACACTTTTAATGTAAGAGCTAAAATGGTTTATCTTCAGTTTCCTGATTAAAAAAATACTCAAAGCCTGCAAGTACACGGTGTATCAACTGTATTATGTTTTCAAAATAAAGATGAATGGTCACAATATGCATATTATTACATAAAAAACAAAAAGCTAGCTAAAAGAGTACAACTGTTATCACGATGATGCAAAAGCGTACGTAGCTGCCTAAATTCACTGTGACAATCGTTCCTAGCTTCAAAGGGACTGCTCAGTCTTCAAAGAGCAATTAAAGCAAACCTAGCTGATCACAAAACAGTACCCTGTTTCTTTTTAAACAACCCCAATCTGAAGGTTGAAAGCAACCTCTCCAGATTTACAGATTAAACATCAGGTTTCTTCCCAAATCTAAGCAGCCACCAGTCCAACGTGTTTTCCCATGCAGACCAGAACATCAACCTTTCAGGCCAAAGGTTAAAAGTAGAATAAACATGGGAAAGACAGGCTCCCCATGCCTGCCACCACCCCTGTTTCCAACTTACACTTTGAGCCCCGGAGAGTCCTCAGTGTAGAATCGCCACATCCCACCAGTGCCCGTGGACGTAGCACGGCCTGCGCTTCTGGTCCCGCAGCTGGCATTCTTCCTTCAGGGGGTAACACAGCAAAGCCCAAAACGCACACGTTAGCAACCTGCAAGCTCCTAACGCCAAACGCTCCAACCCCAAGAAGCCCTGCAGGCGCAAGGCGCTCGCACCAGCCTGCACGGCGGGGCAAGCCCCACGCAGGAGGCCT